CCTCTGGCTCACAGCAGCCCCACTCTGCCTCCACGACTCCCGCCTCGGCCTCCCCTCCGAGGCTGGGACTCGGCAGGCATGCGCCTCCACGGGCCGGGCCTCGTTTTTTCTTATATTATTTTAGGTTTGGCTCAATTAATTTTTTTCTATTTGTTTTTAGGTAGAGACGGGGTCTCGCTCTTGGCTCAGGCCCTCGACCTCCCCCCTCGGCGATCCTCCCGCCTCGGCCTTCCCAGAGTGCGGGTACAAGTTTTTCTATATTACTTTAAATTGACCAATATAATTTCTTCTATTTTCTTTTTGTAGAGACAAGGGTTCTCCCTGTTCTCAGGCTGGCCTCGACTCCCCGACCTCGAGCGATCTCCCGCCTCGGCCTCTCTCTCCAAGTCCCCGAATCCGGCGACCGCCAACGGTCCCTTTAGGGTCTCAGCCGCCGGACTCTCTCTCCAGGGGAATCAGCGGACCCCTCCAGGACCGGACGTTTTGCCAACCCATTTTCCGGAATGGGAAACTGAGGGCCACAGCATCCGGGGTTGGGGGTTGGGGAGGGGTGCCAAAACCGTTTGCCCGATTTACCCCCGAGTTCTGACGGTGGCCCACCCCTAAAACCCCAAGTCGGTGGGCTTCTCCCCGCCCCCCCCACCCACCAACCTGAAAAGGATTTCAGCCCCGGCCGGGCGGCAACCTTCCGGAGGCCCCCCATCCCCCTCGGGGGGAATGCTTGGGTTGCTATTTTGATGGGGGGGATGCCTCCCCCATCCCCGAACGGTGTCATGGGTGGACCCAAGCACCGCGGACCCCCAGTCTCCGAGGTGGCTGGCACCCCTTACACCCGCCAGTCTCGGTGTCCGGCTTCGGAGGCGCAACGTGGCTGCCGGCGGCCGGCCCCTCGCGCCTGCCCTTCCGGATTGGGTTTCTCGGGGCCCGCGCCGGTGCCTCGGTGTACCCTTTTTGGGTAGGGTGGCCCCTTGAGCGGGGATCGGGTTTTCGGGACTCGGGGGGTGCGGGGCGGGCCGGCCCGAGGGGTCGGACCTACCTGGCTGTCCAGCCCGAGCAAGAGCAGCATGATGAAGAAGAGGATGGACCAGAAGGTGGGCAGGGGCATCATGGTGACCGCCTTGGGGTACGCGATGAAGGCCAGGCCGGGCCCTGAACGCAGACAGAGAGAGAGACACACACGGGAGGGGAAACAGAGGCAGGAAAAAGGACGTCATTATCGGCGGCCAGAGACGGCAGAGGGGGGAAACTGAGGCACGCACACACACACACGCACACACAGAGACGCCCTTGGACTCTGGTTACCGGGGCGCGGGGTTCAGGGGGTACGGGGAAAAAGAAGGGGTTCCCCCCACCCCCGCTGACCCCTGACCCCCTCATCCCCCCAAACACCAAGGAGGTCAAGGGTCACGTCGAGCTTGTCCGAGCCCGGGGTTGGGGGGAAAGGGGGAGGGAGGCCGGGCGTGGAGGCTCATGCAGGTAAGGTCGGGGAGGGAGGCTGAGGAGGGAGGATGGTGCGGGAGGTCGAGGCCGGCCTGA